CCCCGATACCAAAAATAAAAATTAAATTATATACCACTTCCCTAAGGAATCCTTCCTTGGTGCCCTGGGGCTGGTTAGAGTCCCCACCCACTGGCAGGTGCACACACCTGCATAAACCTGCACTAAAAAGTACAGAGATACACTGTACATTTTTGTGGCATTTATCATAGTTGTGATTAAAATTAGTGTAATGAAATGATTAGATAATATTGTCATTAAATAATTATTGGCATAATTATTTGTTTAATGTTGCCAAACTATAACACCCAGGAAGGTAGAGACCGTGTTTGTCATATTCATCTCTGTATTCTAAGAACTGGGTACAGACTGGCACACAGTGGGCACTTGGGACTTTTGTTCAGTGCTTATCATGTAGCTCATCTTCTGTGTGACTCTGTAAAGTTATCTTTTTGCAGTAGCAGGGATTGAACTCAGGACCTTGTGCTTGTCAGGCAGTCATTGTCATTTAACTTGAATCCTGAGGAAAGTTACCCAAAATAAAGACAGGCACTTAAACCTGACAGGCGATACTTCTTCATTTCTGCTCCACCTGCCTGGCCCTTGACATTGGTCAATGGTTTTGCATCTTTTGCTTCTCCTGGATCCATTTCCACTATGCACCCGTGTGCACAATCTCAAGCTCCAACCACTCGCTGTCAAATGTTCTTAGAACACATTGTATTCAGGCACCAACGGCAGACCACTTAAATTACCTATGAGGGGACTATACACTATAGAGGATCTAAGATTTAAGCTTACAGGCCCAACCCTATTGGCAGAATTTTAGGCATGGGCTCACTAATAAAGGAGAAATCATTTCTGTGGGGATTGTTGGCCAGAGGCAGACTTGGCTTTCTCTGGCTGTCAGTTTCAACCAAAGTCCTATCAGGGACCCCGTCTCTCTCCCCAGGTGAGCAAGTGACCTGGAACACAGTAGGAAGAACACAGGCCCAGGTCAGGAGGCCTCTGTCTTGGCAACGGTGTTGCCCCAATGTTCTCTGTGGCTTGAGAGAGTCCCTTTCAAGCCTTGGTTTCCCTTTCTCCCAGATGAGATTGTTCGGTGGTATTTTAGATGAGACGTGATCGGGCGCATTCAGGGTGGTATGGACGTAGACTTGGGTGGTATTTCAGATTCCTTCTAGCTCCATATGTGTGGCGCTGACAGGTGCAGCTGCCGATCCTTTAGAAGTAATTGCTCACATTTGCATAGTCTTACTGAGTTTGGGCTCCGTTCTAGGAGCTCCACGCATACGGATTCATTTGATGGTGATGGCCACACTATGAGGCATTGTTCCTGCTCTATAACTGAAGAAACTGAGGCCCAGTGGAGTTAATTCACTTAGCTGAGGTCATTGTTCTAGGCTAGCACAAATTACAATTTGCAAACTTAGGAGTGTAACATAGCAGCCATTTACTCTGTGGCCAGGGGTTTGGGAAGGCTCAGCTGGGCATTTCTCGCTGGGTGTCTCCCTTGTAGCTGCTAGCAGCAACAGCAGGAGCCGTGTCCTGCACTGGACACCCAGGATGGCTCACTCATGCACCCATGCGAGGGCCTCTGTGGCATGAAGGATGGCTTGTCCAGGAAGTGGAATTTGAGAGAGCTTGAAGAGGAATCTGCAGGATATTTCTGACCCAGCTTCAGAATGCTGTGTGTCACATCCTCTGCATTCTAGAAGACTTAAGTCAGCCATTAAGCCTGACCCAGATTTAAGGGGGAAGACACAAACCCCACCTCTCAATAGAAGGACAAAGAAGGTACATCACGTTTTAAGATCAGCATAGTGACCCAGCTGGTAAGTGGCAAGGCTGGAATTTGAACCCCCCGAGACTGGCTCACGGACTGCATATTTAACCACCACACACAAACTGCTTTGAACTTTGAGGTCTGCTTCCTGGGACTTGCTGGTCGTCTCTCCAACATGGCCTCTTGGGGCCCTGAGATTCTTTCCCTGCTTCCAGGCCAGCCTTCATCTCTCTGTTGCCCTTGCCTCTCTTCGCACGGGCCTCTCCCCTTCTTCCCTCACCTTAAGAAGCCACACAGAGGCTGAGGGCAGAGAACTGGGAATAGGCTACCCCAGGCTGCAATCTCATTCCTCACTCCCCAGGACCTAGAGTAAGTCAATTCCCCTCTGGAAGCCTCCATTTTTTGTCTATAAATGGGGAGAGAGGTGCTAAGGACATTTCCTTTACAAGCTGGAATGAAAGTTTGTTCATCTAACCAACAACTAGCTACTGAGTGCCAAACTTGTTGCCAGGGACTCTTCTAGACTCAAGGGATGGGGAGAAGACACTAAGCAAATAAAGAAGAAAAATATATATACACACACACAAAATATAAGATGTGTCAGATAGTCATAAGGGCTATATAGAAAACTAAAGCAGGATATGGAGGGTTTGGTGCTTCTGGGAGGGGTTGTTGTGACCTACAAAGAACAGAAGGGCAGGGAGGAAAGACTTTTACTGGGAAAGTGAAATTTGAGCTTAGGTCCAGGAGAGTGAGCCCTGTAGCATTCTGGAAGGCAAAGTGTCTCAGGCAAAAGGAGAAGCAAGTCCAGTAGGTCTGGAGCTGAATGAACCAAGAGGATGTGTTGGAGATGGGGAAAGAGAGGCCACAGAGCCAAGGAGGTTAGGCTCTTGTAGAACTTGGATTTTGACTCAATGAGACGGGAGCCATGGAAAGGTTTTGAGCAGAGAAGTGGTCAGTTTCTAGATACTTTTTGGTCATAGAATTGTTCACAGATTGAATAGGGTGTGTAAGAGAAAGACAGAAATCAAGGATGACTGCCAAGATTAGTGGTTACCAAGATGGGGATGACCGAACGGAGAACACTCTTAGCCATTGGGCCTCACTGCTCTCAAGATCCAGGTCTGGCTCCTGGGAAGAGAAGGGGGCTCAGGGGCACTTCCCTTGTGTTTTCCATATGTGGTAGCAGAATGGTAAGAATGATCCAGTAATTCCTAGCCTTGCATCATCCCTTCCCATTTGAGTGCAGGTGGAAGGATATCACTACTGCGACCATACTGCATGTCAGAAGATAGTACACAGGTAGAGCAAACCTAAGTACACACCCTTTACAAGCAAAGCATGTTCTCAGCTTAGTAAGCAGAGGAGAGATAGAGTCAAAGAACGAGCATGGCTCCACATCTTGATAGTGGGCTTAAGATGGATGGGCCAGAGAACCACTTCCAGGAGCTGAGATGGTCTCCTGGCTGACAGCCAGAAAGGAAACAGGCCCTCAGTCCTACAACCATAAGGAACTGAATCCTGCCAACAACCTGAATGATCTTGGAAGCAGATTCCTCTTCGATACCTGCAGAGAAGATTCTATTCTGGCCAGTGCCCTGTGAGGCCCTAAGCAGAGAATGCAGCTTACAGAATTGTCCACTAAGAAATGGTTGTCATTTTTAAGTTGCTTAGTTGGTTATGAAGCAAAAGAAAACAATTGCCCACGTTATCCGAATCCTTACAACCCTTGTTCTCATGTTCTGGATGAGGAAATAGATGAGTGAATCAGAAGGGTTTTGCCCTACACCACTTGAGAACATAGTGTCATTGTTAGGACTGAAACTCTGGGCTGTCTCAGCAGGCTGCTTCTTAAAGAGGTGGGCACTGCTAGGAAGGTGGAGCCCTGTGGGTCTTGATTGGGGAGGGTGGGGAGCCACTGGTCCTGGGTTAGGCCAGGAAGTGTGGTGTGGATCTCCCATCCTGCTGTCTATGCTGGGGCTCAGAGTGTCTGCGCTCATGGGTGTGCATCTGAGGACTGTGGTTGCTGAGGGCGTTATGTGTGGGAGAGTGTGTGTGAGTATGAGCCTGCTGAGTGTGTCTCAGCGCCCTGTGAGTGGAGGGTGTCTGTGCATCAGAATGTATCTGTCATGGGGGTGACTGAGTCTGTATGGCTATGTCCTGCTGTGAGAGTGTGTGCACCCACTGACGTGTCTGAGGGTGACTGAGTGACTCGGTGTGGAGGTGGTCAAAGGGCGAAGGGCAGGGAGTGTCTGTGAGGGTCAAGGCTGAGTGTCCCCGCAAGCATGTCTGTATGTATGAAATCCAGGGTGCCTGGGAGTCAGTCTGAGCTTCTGTGGGTTCTAAGTTATCCAAGGGTCTTGCCTGCATGGGAGGCCAAGGGCCAAAAGTGTCCTGCTGGTGTGTCTGCAGGTTCCTGTACCAGACCCAGCGTGTCCGTTGGCGCATCTTCCTGTGTGGGTCTCTGTACCCAACTGTGAGAGTCGGTGGGTTTGTCTGTCCAGGTGTCTATGGATGAACCGGGTGTACCTGTCCAAGTATCTTCGCCTGGGTCTGAAGGCGAAGGCAGTGCCTCTTGTGGAATGAGTGTATCCCTGTTGGTGTGCGTGTGACTCCGAGGGTCTCTGCGGACGAGACCGAGTGCCAGAGATGCCGGGCGGGTCTTTCTGAGTGGTCTCTTCAGAGAGCGTCTGCCTCTGGGCGAGCGAGGCCTGTCTGGGTCGGTGACTGACGCCTGCATCTGGGGAATCTGAGGACCGGAGTGGGGGTTGGGCGGGCAGGGGTTGGGGGTCCGGGA